GGCCCCACTATCTGAATGGTTAGCATCGTTTGAACGCGCAATGTTGGTTACTTCCTCCTTTTTACACTTTTAGCCCCTCAGCTTTTCATTTTTTCTTATTTAGCCCCTGTATTTTTAAAACAACATAATTTCACTCGTAAGTAATAATATCCTTTAATTCTAACCGTCTAATTATTAAATTTATGTAATTAACCCTCTAATCAAATACAATAACAATCATTTTTTAGGGTTAATCAAATATCGCTCTAGTAAAGGCTAACGAGCATAGATCGGTCCCTATAAGTTTTTAAATTTAAAACCATGCAAAAACTTGTCATATTGAGCACCAAAGGGTATTGCTCAAAGAGAGGTCCAATTGTGACTCAAACTATATTTTCAAAACTCATAAATAGTTCAAAAAAACTTTTATTTAAAATCACCTAGGAGTTATAATCCGATCACTTTCAATTCCATTTTCATCCTAACCATCTTAAGTTAAAATAAACAAGGGTTCATCTTAAATGTCTAGGTCATTACTTTTATCTTAAGCATGAAGGTGCATAAAGAGGTTGAATAATGTAGCTTTGATGCTTGATCTTCTCCCTTTAATAACGGTTTCAGATCTTGAATTTAATTGCATCATGACCATGGAAATGGTTGAGATTTTACAATGGACTGCATGAAATTAATGAATTACAAATACATGATATAACTAACTTCTTAAAAAATTCTTTTTTGTAATCCTTGTCAGTTGGCTATGGACCGTGGTTTCAAAGAATCTAACCACATATTGGCTTTATTCTTCAGTGAGAAGGAAAAAAGTTTTAGATGAGCTATTTTAGAGTTATCCTGGAATGTACCAAGGAGGTGTGCAAATAAGGATTCTCACACTCCAGACCATGAAACTGGGAAAAAAATGGTAGAGACCCTCGTTTGACATCAAAATTTTGGGCATTCTTAGGTAGCATGAAGGTACACTGTTGCGAACAAGACGTAAATAATCCCTCAAGATTTTACCTTGTTTATTGGCCTCTACTTTTCGGCCACCCATTACTCTACAAGTTTTGCTATGATCAAATGTGGGGAAGGTAACTGACTGGTTACGTGAAGGACTCAAAGGACCTGATGAACCTACAAAATCTACTGTTAAATAGAGAGTAGGTTGGGTCTGAATTAGAGGAATGTCCACCAGACATGCAATTCTAAAAATAAAATTAAAAGAATGAATAGTGAAAATCTAACCTGAAAAAATAAGATGGCATGCAAAGAATCTAAAAATAATTACAAGATGGAATGTAGTTACCTGGAAAAATTTGTCTCCAAGTAGCATGTTGATGAAGGTGGATTCTCCCTTCTTCTTGTTCTTCTCAAATTCCTCCTTCTCGATCCCTAGCAATGGCTCTAAAACTTACTTGATGTCCAAAGGATGCACCCAAGTACAAGTGGTCAAGAAGTAGTAAATACACGATGAAATTTACTAATAACGTAAATGAAAATTAGGTTTGGATTTGGTAAAAAGTTGAATTGCTTGGAAAATAAATGTAAATAAACTTAAAGAGAATAACTATTGGAAGAATGATCCTTTAGCTTTGGGATTTAGATATGTTCATGTTCATCTAATAATTATATTTATGCAATTTATATATAAATTTAGTTGATTTTTTAATCAATGTAGTCACTGGAAAATATAGTTTTGAATACACAATTAATTCGATTGATGTGATAATAAGATTTGAAAAACTACTTTTATAAAACTCGTAAGAAATTATAAATATTGAATATACCAATAACTCAATCTTGTTAATAAACAATCAAATAATTACATAGAGTTTAAACTTTGCTAAAACATACAATCAATCTAAAAGAAATAAAGATTTAGCATTAATAACAATGATATAATTGCATGAACATAATATCTAAATGAACAATCAAAAATCTATACCCTAGGCAAAATATACAAGAGAACTACTCACATGGCATGGGTAGATCTCAAAAAAATAAAGAAAAGATGTAAAAGATGGGGATCTAGGATGAATCTCTCCCAAAAAAAAAGAACATGTACTTATACTAGGGAGGCTACAGTTGGCATTGGAACAAGTCCTTAATCAAAAAGGAGTACATTTAGGTCAAAACCCGTGCATCAGAGTCAAACGGCATGTCCCAACGATGCAAAACGCATCCCGCCGGTTTAAATGTATGGGAACCAAACTTCGTAGGTGCATCTGGACAATGTAAATGTGTTTGGACAATCAAAACTTACTGGACAAACCTTCATAGGTGCATCTGAACGGTGCTTGGTGTGTCCAAATGCACTTACATATTGTCAGAGTGCGTTCTGACAGTATTGGTGCTACCAGATGCGGGTAATGTACCTCCCAAACTTCAAGCTCAATTTTCCCATAGTTATAGGCCAATTACACTTTTATAGCTCTTGAAGGCTTCTTTCCAATGACGCAAGAATCAAGTCAATCGAACATCAAGATAAAAAGTTATGACTACAACACTTAAGTAATGTTAAAATCTTTTTTTCCTGAATTGTCTCCAACATATATTTATGCTTCGGAATGCCTCCCAACTTCTTTTCTTCATCAAATGATCCCCTATTCCAACCAAATCCTTCCTCCATTGTTTGCTCCTCTTGGATCACTCTATTGTCATTACTAATCATCTGATTACCTACAAAATGAGATAAACAACTAGAACAAGTATCAAGCTAGCAAATCCATGAATCTAACACATATAATCGTAAAGAAAATGTAATTAAATCATCCTTAAATATAATAAAATATCACTTCTGATGTCTATTCACACCCCAACTCAAATTTTACTAGTCCCTAATAATACATGGATCCCAAAATCTAAAAATAAAGCAAACATAAAGATACAAAACCACTTTCATAATATTCATGATTACATTTAGTATATATAATAAGCGTTAAAACCCCTAGGTTATCTCTAGTGGACGAGTTATAGTCTCGTGAAGGTTTTCAGTGCATATACCCACAAACTTCATTCAATCTATTAATAATCTAAATCATTCTTATAACTTAAATCAATCATCAATCCAGGAAAAATATCAAATTTTAACCCAAATAAGTCAATGCAAAGCCACATCATAGAACTAAATGGTATATAAAAGTTTTCACATATTGGATTCCCATTCAAAACTCGTGTGTGATGTTAAATAATCATGCAAGCTCAAAAATTCAGTCAACAATACCTCACCTTTACAACTATCAATGGCTAGTTTTGATACAAACTTTACCAAGAATTTACTCCGATTATAATGACTATTCACATTTTACAATACCATATGTGAGCGGAGTTAATGAAAATGAAAGCAACATATAACTCGCATACATTCATATCAACTATCCGCTATTCCAATAAAAGGACTTAGCACAATCTCATGAAAGGAAATCAATAACATAGATTTTAAAATAATCGTCAATCTTCTCCTTATTCACATAATCCATGAATCAACCATCATACTCTTGACATCAAATAGGTCTTTTTTTTTTTTTAATGGGGCTTTGGGATAAGGTTTGTGAAGCGAATAATATTTAAGAATTCAAAAAGTTATCCCGCAAGATCATTACTTTTTCTCAACCATATGCTTCAATTGCTTTTCTTTTCCCATCATCCAGAAGCAAACCTAAATAGCACTATCCCATACTTTTCTTCTTCTTTTTTTCATAAATGCATTTTTTTCCCTTCTTCTTTTTTCCCAATAATAGCTATTTTTTTTCTTTTTTTTATGCAAGCTCAACAAGAGAATACCTAAATATTTTCTTTTTATGGAATAACCAAGGGAGATTCATCTCCTTTTTTCTTTTTCTTTTTCCAAAAGTTAATATCACACCCTTATGATATGTTGTTAAATCAATTCGGGACAATCAAGGTAAGATAAAATGCTTTATAATTTTTCATGGTTGTTATATTGGGCTTAAGGATTAAAAATATTGAAAAGAGGCTCAATCATGATTTCTATGGATGAATATTGATCAGACACAAATTGGTTTTATGCACCACCTCTCAAGTAATTAATGATTAATGCAGTAATTAAGTAAAAAAAGAGTAACACAAGCAAGGCAAAGATGTAAAGTGGTTTATTCAACATAACCTACTCCACTATGAAAGGCTATGATGGCTTGGTGCTTTATTACTTCGAGAGTATAAGGAGATCAGGGGAGAGCAACAAAGGTACAAGCTATGAGAAAGGTGAGAGTGATAACAGATATATTCGATGCCCCCCAAATATTGGCGGGGCTTACAATTTATAGTGTCTTTTAACAGACAAAGGTGCCTTTTCAGTAACTAAGTAGCTAATCTGGTGGAGCTTACACTATCCTCTTAACGGTTGAGGCGGTTACGGAGCTCCCCTTAAGATCATGTCAAAAGATGACATGGTTAAATTTTTCCAAGCGGTATGGATGAGGCTCTTGGGATGGCGTTGCCTACTCCTTGGTGATGTAGCTCTTGGAACCTTGATGAGCCTGACTAGGTGTGGGCCTCCTTTGGGTCTGATCCATTGGGTTTCGTTTAGTTGAGATTTTTATTCAAGCTAGGCTCATAACCTAAGTTGAGCCCTTGGGTCTGGTCCATCATTTGCCCTCTAATTCCCCAAGTCCAATAAAACTTAGAGAAGAGGGCATTTAGTTAAATCCGGATTCTGGCTGACTGAGACTCCTTTTGACTGAAGACCTCTTTTCCTCCCTGACATCTCTGTAGTACATCGCCAGTTATATAAACTCCCCCACTTTATTTCCTATTTGGATTCTAGAAGAACCCTAGGTCATAAATAGGGACTTTTTCCTTCATTTGCATTTCATACAATCTTGAGAGAAAATATCTTTGTAAGATTCTCCAGAATATAGGCAAGATGTGTGGTTCTTGAGTGTTCAGAGGACAGATCGAGTGAAGGAGAAGAGGTACAAGGAACCATTGTCATCGAAGAGGGCGTTGATGGTGTCAAAATAGTAGGCACTAGGGCTCGTACTTAGAAGGACGTCGGCAAGGCAATGGCGCTGGCAGACGAGGCTTGGTACCATGGTGGTGAAGGAGACCCTGAGTGCTCCCTAGGCATTGAAGGTTCTATGGGCCTTGGAGGCAAGGCGCCAAGAGGCGCGCCTAGGTTACAAGGATAGGCAAAGGCGCCATGGGCAAGACCCCATGGTCGCCGCTGATCGTGAGGCACCATAAGCATTGCTGGAAGGGCACGCTGATCGTGGAGAAAGCGCCGAAGTCGAGATGACACCGGGCAAGGGCACGGGAGGCGAGCACGTCATGACAGGCGCAGGCGACGCGCCAGGGATAGCATCACTGGGCACTGATCTTGAACAGTCAAGCGCGCTAGGGGCTAGGAGCGGTCAAGCGGTGTCAGGCTCAGGGTCGTGGTTGTTGTGCGAGCCAGGTGTGGTGGCTGTGGACGCCAGGCATGGATTTTTGCGAGTGCTAGAGGAGGATTTGCCGGGTATTTTTGGTGACGATGATTCCAATCAAGCTATGGCTGATGTGGTTCTTTTAGGTATAATTCCACAGAGTCAAATCTCTCAAGGCTCTCTAATAGTGGCCCTAAGAATGTTTCTCACCCTCGCAACAGCAAGCATCGAGGAAAGGCAACTCTTGATGACGACGAATCCAAAGTAAATACCATTTATATTACCCTTAACACTGATGCTAATATTTTGAGGGTTATTTCCACTTATAACATCCTTCTAATGGTACTGTGTTGCCGAGCTGAAATGGGTGAGCCTGATTGTGATGACTCATTTGGAGACATTGCTATCTATGAGGAGGTGCTTGAGGCTGGGCTGAGGTTCTCAATGCCTTCTTCTGTTTTTCGTATTCTCTATTGTTTTTTGCTGACTTGATAGAAGTAAATAATATCTGTGAAAAATGTACAGATATTGGGTACCTCTAAAGCTTAATGATTTCTGGCTAGTCAAGTTTGTCACCACTCTACATGGGTTTTTGAAGGTTCCTCGGATTCTTTGGACGAGTGCAATTTTTTTTATCAATTATCTTCCCACTACAAA